GGTGCTGTCTGCATAGTATGCCCTTAGTTCGCCAGCTGCATGATTGGCAGGCAGTCTGACATGCATTCATGCCAGGCTGGCCTTATAATTCTTTGGGCAGACGTCCTCTTTTTGGGCATGTTCGCCCCTTTTGGCAGGTTACGCGATTTGTGTCCGTGGCACACCCTTTTACCATGCCCATTGACTTCCTGCTTTACTGGACACTACTGTTAGGGGTTATGGATTTACTTGAAAGATGAAAACATAAATTAGAGGGAGATTAGCATAGGGTATGTGTTTTCTTATAGCTGCTGTTTTCTTTCTCTCCAGCACCATCTCCATCAGATACATGACGCTTGGGAGTGTTTTAGTGTTTTTGGTCAATATGATTCTTTAATTAGGCCCGTCATAATTGTCAGCACTAGGCCCACTCGGCTGTAATCAGCATAGCCAGATAAACACACACATATAGCCAGATAAACACACACACATACATACAGCCAGATACACATGCACATACATCCAGATACACACACTGACATACACACAGCCAGATACACATGCACATACATCCAGATACACACACTGACATACACACAGCCAGATACACACATTGACATACACACAGCCAGGTACAAACACTCACAGTCAGGTAGATACACATGCACATACAGCCAGATACACACACTGACATACACACAGCCAGATACACACATTGACATACACACAGCCAGTTATACACACACAGTCAGATATACACACACACACATAGCCAGATAAACACACAAATATAGCCAGATAAACACACACACATAGCCAGATAAACACACACATATAGCCAGACAAACACACACACATATAGCCAGATAAACACACACACACATAGCCAGATAAACACACACACATAGCCAGATAAACACACACATATAGCCAGATAAACACACACACATAGCCAGATAAACACACACATATAGCCAGACAAACACACACATATAGCCAGACAAACACACACACATATAGCCAGATAAACACACACACATAGCCAGATAAACACACACATATAGCCAGATAAACACACACACACATAGCCAGATAAACACACATAGCCAGATAAACACACACACACATAGCCAGATAAACACACACACATATAGCCAGATAAACACGCACACATAGCCAGATAAACACCACACACATAGCCAGATAAACACACACACACATAGCCAGATAAACACACACATATAGCCAGATAAACACACACACATAGCCAGATAAACACACACACATAGCCAGATAAACACACACATATAGCCAGATAAACACACACACATACATACAGCCAGATACACATGCACATACATCCAGATACACACACTGACATACACACAGCCAGATACACATGCACATACATCCAGATACACACACTGACATACACACAGCCAGATACACACATTGACATACACACAGCCAGGTACAAACACTCACAGTCAGGTAGATACACATGCACATACAGCCAGATACACACACTGACATACACACGGCCAGATACACACATTGACATACACACAGCCAGGTACAAACACTCACAGTCAGGTAGATACACATGCACATACAGCCAGATACACACACTGACATACACACAGCCAGATACACACATTGACATACACACAGCCAGTTATACACACACAGTCAGATATACACACACACACATAGCCAGATAAACACACAAATATAGCCAGATAAACACACACACATAGCCAGATAAACACACACATATAGCCAGACAAACACACACACATATAGCCAGATAAACACACACACACATAGCCAGATAAACACACACACATAGCCAGATAAACACACACATATAGCCAGATAAACACACACACATAGCCAGATAAACACACACATATAGCCAGACAAACACACACATATAGCCAGACAAACACACACACATATAGCCAGATAAACACACACACATAGCCAGATATACACACACACATAGCCAGATAACACACACACATATAGCCAGATAAACACACACACATAGCCAGATAAACACACACACATAGCCAGATAAACACACACATATAGCCAGATAAACACACACACATAGCCAGATAAACACACACACATAGCCAGATAAACACACACATATAGCCAGATAAACACACACACATAGCCAGATAAACACACACATATAGCCAGATAAACACACACACATAGCCAGATAAACACACACATATAGACAGATAAACACACACACATAGCCAGATAAACACACACACACATAGCCAGATAAACACACACACATAGCCAGATAAACACACACATATGCCCAGATGCACTCACTCAGACCCAGGTACACACACATATATCAAGTTACATCATGTTTTAGCCACCCTCTTGTCTCCTTACCTTTTGGGTACAGAAGGGTGGCTTCCCTGGGGTCCGGTGGGAGCTGGAGGGCCAAGGCTGATGAGAGTCTGTCCTCAGTCCCTTTTCTCCTCCTGTGTATACCTCCTCTACCTCCCCAGCGGCACTCTGTTACTTGGGAGGAAGTGATCTCACCTCACTTCCTCCCAGCAGGCAACATCAAAGGGGCCAAGGCCGAGCACTCTTAAAGGGCTGAGGGCCCTTAATTACATCAGGTGCTGCAGTCCACAGGATTTGGACCCCAGCGGGGGGCCTACAGAGCAGCAACTTTGGGCCCCCCACGAGTAACTGGGCCCGGGGCAGCTGCCCCTTTTGCCCCCCTTTAAAGACGTCCTTGGCTTGAGGATTCCTCGCGTTTCAACATTTTTCTTAATGCCAGTTTTTTGAAGATTTGCACATGCACATTCAGTGTACACATCTGACTCCCCCTCATAGATTTTATTACTATTAAAACCTTATTTATTAGGCACATATGTTAAACTATAATTGTACATGCTATAAATATGCACATTTACCACAAGTATAGTGTACCCATTAACTATGTGATTTATTACAGATTAAAACCAGACTAGTGTTATTTTGTATCACTGAATTCATACACCATTACCATCAATATGCTGAACCCACTGGTCGCATAGCTGTTCGATAAATGTAAATATGTTGTATGAATGTATGAATTTGCACAACATTTATTTACCAGAGCGCTTTGGGTTTGACACTCCTTCAGTGCAGGGCCCTTTTTACCCATGACTTAGTCCATGTAGATCCAGATTTCCACGTTTTAGTCTTTAAGGAGCTATCCAAATTCAGATGATGAAGCAGGATAGCAATTGTAAAGTATCACAGTCAAAATAATTAATAAGATTTTTAAAATATGTTTCTGTTGTACATATTTCTGTTTAGCCTGAAATGCTCATTGCCCAAACTAGTCAGACATAATATAATTCACTTAAAAAAAAAAAAGCAATTTGTTTTTTTTCCATGGGGCTGCCACTGCAGCCATGGGCCTGAAAGCTAAGGAGGCCCACCGGGTGGCCCATGCACTCAGGGCCATCCAGTGGGCATTTGTCAGCAGGGGCCCAGTCGTGCGCTGGGGCCCTTTAACAGCGCGGCCGAGCCCCTTGCTTTCCGGCAGAATGGGAGGAAGTGACTGCTATGAGTCACTTCCACACAGAGAAAACAGAGGGGCGCGGAAGGGAGGACAGCCAGACCACAACGCCCTTTATCCTCAGGCACCACACTGGACCTCACGGAACCCACCCTCCAGAATAAGGTAGGAAACTGGAGGGTGGGTTTAAAAATTTAAATATTCCATGTGTCAGTGAAAGCGTCTGTGTGTGTGTGTCAGTATGTCTGTCAGTGTATGTTCCTATGTGTGTGTCAGTATGTCTGTGTGTGTATGTGTGTGTGTGTCAGCATGTCTGTCAGTGTATGTGTCTGTGTGTGTGTGTGTGTGTGTGTGTCAGTATGTTTGCCTGTGTGTGTGGCAACATATCTGTCAGTGTGTCTATGTGTGTTAGTATGACTGTCTGTGATCATGTCTGTAAATGTGTCTGTGTATGTTAGCATGACTGTGTGTGTCATCATGTCTGTCAGTGTATGTGTCTGTGTGCGTCTATCAGTGTATGTTTCTGTATGTGTCAGTATATCTGCCACTGTATGTGTCTGTCTGTGTGTGTGTGTCAGAATCTCTGTCAATGTGTATCAGTGTATGTGTCAGTATGTCTGTCAGTGTATGTGTGCATATGTGTCAGTATGTCTGTCAGTGTATGTATGTGTGTCAATATGTCTGACACATATACGTGTATGTGTATCTGTATGTTGTCATTGTGTGCATCTGTGTACCTGTATGTTGTCAGTGTTTGTATCTGCGTGTCTGTGTAGCTGCATGTGTTCAGGTTGTGTATCTGTTTGTCTGTATGTGTATTGGTGTGTCTGTATCTGCATCAGTCTGTGTGTCTGTATCTGCATGTGTGTCAATGTGTGTGTATATGTGTCTGTATATCTCCATGTGTGTCAGTGTGTATATCTGTGTATCTGCATGTGTTTCAGTGTGTGTATGTGTATCACAGTGTGTGTGTGGCAGTGTATGTGTATATGTGCATACATCTCAACATTCAAATGCCAGCACTACACACAAATACACCCCTGCATTCAAACTTCAACATATAAACACACTCCTATATTGGAGCATCAACATTAAATACAACCACACCTGTGTTAAGCACCAAAATTTAATATTAACACACCTCTGCAGTGAAAAACCAACACTACACATACATTTATGCTTGCATTCAAATGCTAACACCAAATACAAACACACCCCTACATTCACACAAACATACTCCATACAAAAATACGCTTACAATTCTTGCACCATACCCTTTCTACTTTAGTTCTGCCACTGCATTGGGGTGGATGATGTGATTGCATGCCAGGATGGGGCAGGGTCCAGGGGACCAAGGTAATGGTTGCCCAGGGTCCAATCAATAATAAAGATGGCCCTGCATATCAACTATTTTGCTATTAAAAGCAGATCTGTTTTTTTTTTTTTTTAAAGAAATGTAATTTAAAAAAAGCTTTCATACATAAAAACTGTTTGAGATAGACTGAGACAGATTTAAATGGTGAAAGAAAGACTCATACTGACAGGCTAACAACTAGGTTGCCCTATTTTGGACTCAAATTCTTCTGTCTCTCTTTTCTATCCCAGCGTCCCTTGTTTCTAGGAACTCCATATTATTTGTCCTTGTGAATGTATAAAGAGCTCCCCAGCAATACTATGCACATAAATATGTTTTTTTAACAACAATCAATGTGTTTAGACATTAGTCTGTCTAAATAAGACATGTCATTATTATTCTAAATAACATTTTAGTAGCATAATTTATTGTAAATTAGCCACCACAATGTTCTCAGAACAGCCCTATCCCTGGCTATATCACCACTTACACTTCTAAAATTATTATTTTTTTTGTCAATTTGGAATGTCGGGAGGTATGCATACCTAATTAGCTAGATTTCCTCTTGTGCATAAATCCTAACTTATTACATATGCCTTGCCATCCCACCATTCACCCTGTTACACAAGCCTTAATTAATTTAATATGCTATTGTATACTGTTATTCATATCTCATGGCCACATTTATTATATCTTAATTTGTAAAACAATACATGCTAGGATCTGTGGGACCCCAGAATGTAACAAGAGAGTCAATCTGAACTACACGTCGTGTGGATTACGTTTTTCATCTACAAGGCTATCTGTTAGCTTCCTTTACTTTGTAAAATGGCATAATGTCATATTTGCATGACAGATGTACTTTCAAACTCTTTATTTTTTTTCCTTTTGCTTGAATTTTCCTACACAAATATTTTTATTTCTTTGTGTTTTCTTTCTATTTGCATGACACCTCGCTGTTTGAAAACAGACACATGCGTTGGTTTATACTCTTTCTCTTTCTCTTGCAAATGACAGTTTGTACCTTTATATGGAAGGATCATCAGCCAGTTTATACTATGAATCCACTTTTGTTGTGAAAACATATGAACAACCTGAAAAGGCAGTTCTAGCACTTTAACATCATAACTTAAGCGTGTAAATGTTATAATAGAGGCTATTTCATCTATACATATTTTATACAATGGATGATGGTCCATATGGGCAAGTGGATCCCTGTTACCCCCATTCTCCTTATTGTTGTGTTAAAAAAAAAAAAAAAAGAAGAAGAAAAATTTAATCTAGCCATGTAATAATGTATGTTTTTTTTTTTCCAATAAATGCCCTATGTTCTGGGTATAGACCTCCCAGGCATGCTTGATCTGCTCTATCAGGATTTCTGAGGTCACCAACTGTGGATATCCAATGCTGTATATTCTAAAAGTCATTTCTGCATACTGTCCTGCCTTCTAGAGCGGTCACTGGGTAATATCATCAGAGGGGGAGTCAGACCATTTTGAAGAGATGGTTGTTTCACAGATACATGTATCTATATGTTTATGGTATTCAATTAGGACATGGCATATATCATTGAGTCAGAGGTTGAGTACGTAGGGTTAAAAGGGTAGAGCCCAACAATAAGGGGGTAGAGTCTCGTGCCCTTCCATCTTCATAGTGCAACCAGCTGCCATTGGTTTGAACTTTCATTTTGCATAACAAAGGTATGCAAAACAAAATGTAGCCCATAAAACCACACTACCGTCTCCTAAATTCCAGGAACTATACTCACGTCGGAGCCAAGCAAATTGTCTAGGACTCCATTCTGTATTGTTTAATCTCTATAGCTTGTCTAAACAGGAAAGCCCCTCTTCATTCCACAATGTAAAATGAGTTTCAAAGCAGAAAACATTATTTCTGTATTTTTACAGTCAGAAAGTGAGGAGGAGAAGAGATTACTCTGCCCAACTCAGAGCAACACAGAAATGTATAAAAGCCCCTACAGCACTTTGCAAATCTCTGTATTTTACAAATAGACAAATAGATGGTTTAACTGTGCTTACTGTAATGTAATGTAAACATTATTCTTAAAATGTATTAATTTTATATTCATTTTGATATCATTTAAGAAATCTGAATTACCAATAATGTCATTGGGGAGGATAATGTTTAATGTCTATAATTCGTCACCCCCCCACCCCAATGCCAATGCCAGTATGAAAACATCTTTTAAATATGGTAACACAGGTCTGCAAATAAACAAAGAAAGTGAAAACTGGCGAATGGACTAAGTAATATAGATTTAAAAAACAGCTCACTATAGTAGTTATGATGCCACCGATATAAGCAGTCAAACCATTTTAGAATGATTTAACACTTTACCTAGGGCAGTGATGGCGAACCTATGGCACGCGTGCCTCAATTCGGCCCTCTCTGTGGGCACGTGACAATAGGACACTGAGGCGGGGGGGGGAGGGGCGCAGGAGCCAGTCGGCAGCAATGCTAAGGTCTGCCAGGTGCTGCTCCCCACCTCTACTAGTAACACCGGAGAGCGGGAAGATACCCAACTGGAACATCTGCTAGCTTTCCTGTGCTAATTCCTGCAGTAGTGGAGTAAGCAGTTCCTGGCAGACCACATTTTAGAAGGCAAATCTTTAAAAAACGGGTTGACTGTTTACAATGGGAGACGACAGGTGCTGTACTGTTTATGGTAGTGTTATTTTGGGCTGTAGGGGTTATGGTGCTTGGCACTATATAGTGCTCCATAACATTATATTTTTAATGCCTCAAATTGTTAGAATAATCTTTTGGGATTCAGGTTCCCTTTTTTTACTGTAAAAGTAAGTAACCTGTTACACACCTGGAATCTAAAGCCAAATCTGGAGCCACAACTGCTTCTTATCTGCAGTTCTGTCTGCTTCAGCTGATTTGATCAGGCTTGTGCAATTATATGAGTAGCATTGTGGACATAATTTGCATGTGCAGCTATCGCTGCAATACTACAATCAAATATTTGACATCCTCACGCCTTGACGTCAAGAACCGAGTCTGACTTTGATGCACCATCTACAAGACAACAACTAGAGGTATGTTTAACTCTGCAATGTAAACCATGACATAAAAACACAGAAAAAAAACAGGGACACTATACAAAGACCACTTCATTTATATAAAATGATCAGGGTGCCTATAGTATCCATTCAGGGCCGGTGCAAGGATTTTTGCCGCCCTAGGCAAAAGAAGGATTTCCCGCCCCCCCCCACCCCCAGAACATCGCAATTCCCCACCCAAATGAACTAATGCCAGTGCTGCACATTAAAAAGCCTGCAGGGACAAACTATAGACACCAGAACAACTTTATTAAGCTTCAGTGGTTCTGGGGACTATAGTGTCCATTTAATGTGAGGTAAATTAGCGATTAGTGTCACTAATAATATACTAGCTTGCCTACTTACAATCAGATGAGGATGGTGATGGGCTCTGGCTGCAGTCTGGCTCCACTGGTCTGGTGTAGAACAGGATCTCTGGAGGCTGTTTGTAACTGTGGTCACAAAATTCAATGTTCTGGGAGAACGGGAAGCAGCTCCATTTTTTGGGGCCTCTTACATAGCTCAAGGTCTGGGCCCCAGGGCCTGACGGTGAGTATGCCCATAAAGCCCACCCATAAGTCCACCTACATGTTCCACCCATGAGTTCGCTCACAGGGAGTAGAGTGTGTAGGGGATGTGTTATGTGTTACTGTAGAGGATCTAATGTGTGTGCTTACGGAATGTAGTGTATAGGGATACCAGTTTGTGTAGGTGATGCAGTGTGTTTGTGTGTAGTGGAAGCAGTGTGTGTGTGTGTGTGTGTGTATAAGGGATGTATTGTGTGTTTCTTGTTGTGTGTAAGGGATGCATTGTGTGAATCTGTGTTTGTATGCATAAGGGATGCAAAGTGTGTTTCTGTGTATGTAAGGGATGCAGTGTGTGTGTCTGTAAGGGGTGCGTTGAGTGTGTGTAAGAGATGCATTGTGTTTCTGTGTGTGTATAAGAGAAGCAGTGTGTGTTTGCATGTGTGTGTAAGGGATGCATTGTGTGTTTCTGTGTATATGTGCAAAGGATGCATTGTCTTTATGTGTAAGGGTTGCATTGTGTGTTTCTCTGTGTGTAAGGGAAGTATGTTGTGTTTCTGTGTGTGTGTGTGTGTGTGTGTGTGTGTGTGCGTGGTGTGAAAGAGCTCCCTGTCCCCCTGTCCTATAGAGCTCTCCCTTCCATTCCTTAGAGATCTCTCCTGCCCCTTAGTGGTCTCTCCACCGCCCCCTCCTTCCCCTACGTTCTCATCTCCCATCATCTCCCCCCCCTCCCTCCCATCATCTTATCTCCCCACCCCTCCCATCATCTCATCTCATCTCCCCCTCCCATCATCTCCTCTCCCCATGTGTTCTCTCCTCCCCCTTGTTCTCCATACAGCCCCCCACTCTCCTGTGTTCTTCTTGCTCCCCCACCCTCCTGTGTTCTTCTTACTCTCCCCCTATCCTCTCTGTGTTCTTCAAACTTCTCACTCCCCCTTGTTCTCCTCAGCCCCCACTCTTCCTGTGTTCTTCTTAATCTCCCAACCCCGCTGTTCTTCTTAATCCCCACTTCCCATTCAACGTCCCCAACCCCTGTTCTTCTTAATCCCCCCCACCCCCCATTCTTCTCAAGTCCCCCTCTCAATCCGTTCTTCTCAATCCCCCCACCCACCCTGTTCTTCTCAATCCCCCACCCACCTAGTCTTCTCAATCCCCTTCTCAAACCCCCACCCATGTTCTTCTCAATCCCGCCCTGTTCTCAATCCCCCCCTGTTCTTCTCAATTCCCCCACTAACCCCTTTTCTTCTCAATCCCCCTTCCCCTCACCTCTCCTTACCTGTAGCGTGGCCGAACTCCTCTCCGGTCCGCGGTGCCAGGCCAGAAACTCCACACGGAACAGGAGTTTCTGTTTCCTGTAACCGGCCGGACTGACGGGAAGTGCACACTGAGTGTGCACCTTCCTATCACTCCGGCCGGGCACCGCAGACCAGAGAGGAGCTCGGTCATGCTACAGGGGAGGGGCGGGGAGAAGCAGCGCTGCACTAGGACCGGACCGCCGCGGACAGTTTTAAAATTATTTAGGGTGGCCTGGGGGGCACTATAGGCAGCCAAATCCCGCCCCTGGATGGACACTATAGGCAGCCAAATCACTTCATCTCATTAAAGTGGCCAGGGTGCAGTGCCCCAGTTCCCTTAATCCTGGAAGTAAAAACATTGGAGTTTAGAGAAGCTCAATGTTTATATTGCACGCTTAAGACAGCCAGCGCTTTTTGGATTTTCATGTTGGACGTCCTCACGCATTGCATGAGGATGTCAAGTGTCTTCAAAATCCCAATATGAAAGCATTTATTCGATTCTTTCCTCTGGGTAAGCTCTAACTCACATGGCGTGACGCCACAAAAGGAGACAGCCAACACCAAGGCACCCAGGCACTGGAATTAAGGTGAGTTAAACAATGGTTTAACCCTTTCATGATGCCAGGGGTGGGACAGACCTGGATCAGTTTTGTACTCCTAACGCTATTGTGTTCCTTTAACCCTGATCATGGGACCTATTAAGGAAGAGACAGAAAGACAAATAGTGTACCCAACACAAATGTGAAAAATACGCAGCAAAGAATGATTAGGAGCTAGATGTAAAAGAAGGCCTGTTGTGGGAGAGATAAGAGAATGAAACAGAGATAAGGAGAGTGATAAGAGATTAAAGAACAAGAACGAAATTCAGAAGATAGAACGAGATCTAAGCTTGGAGGCACAATTTAAGTTATAGATGGCAAAGAGACATACAAAATGTAGTAGAGAAAGAAAGTCAAGGGTACTGGAACAGAAAAGGATAGTGAAAATGAACAATGAATAAAGACACGTGTAATTTAAAACACCAGAGCTGTAGAATATGTTGGGCTTTTATAAATAATAATAAAAATACTTGGACAAGATAGAAATGATGGCAGCTGGTGCACTGTACAGTCGAGAGTTTGTGGACAACTGAATGTTGA